ATTGTGTTAGAGGCACAAACAGAAAGGAGCAGGGCTGTAGTTTAGTGCACCAAAGTGAGATGGAGGGAGGTCAGAGGTTAGAGCATCATGGTGAGATGGAGGAGGTCACAGGTCAGTGCACCAGGGTGAGATGGAGGGAGGTCAGAGGTTAATATACCAAGGTGAGGTGAGAGATAGGCAGGCCAGATGCAGCAGGTTCTTGTAGCCTGTGACAGAGTTTAGATTCTAGTCTAAGCCTAATGGGAAACTTTTGGAGGATTTCAAGTTAAGGAGCCACATGATATAATTCACAATTTTAAAGTAGGGGAGGAAAGGAAGAAGAGAAACAAATTAAGTGAGTGATGATGGTGATTTGAACCTGAGAAATAGCTGTAAAAACGAAGAAACGTAGACATATTTAGGTTATATGTTGGAAGTGTTTCTTATAGGACCTGCCAATGATTTGCACATGGGACATGAGGGAAAGAGAGGATATATTTCACAACATAAAATGTTAACTATTACTTTACACCAAAAGTATAACCCATAAGAATAAAACTTAGGGGGCTGGCCCTGTGGCCGAGTGGCTAAGTTCGCACGCTCTGCTTCGACGGCCCAGGGTTTCGCCAGTTGGGGTCCTGGGCACGGACATGACACTGCTCATCTAAGCCATGCTGAGGCGACGTCCCACATACCACAACTAGAGGGACTCACAACTAAAAATACACAACTATGTACTGGGGGGCTTTGGGAGAAAAAGGAAAAATAAAATCTTTAAAAAAAAAATAAAACAGACTTCATAAAAATTAATGCTTTCACTCTGTGAGAGACTCTGTTAAGAGTACAAAAGAAAAGTTACAGATTGGGAGAAAATAATTGAAACTCTCGTATCCAACAAGGCCAAATATCTAGAACATATAAAGAACTCTCAAAACTCAACAGTAAAAAATAAAGCATCCAATTACTACACGGGTAAGTGACATGAAAAGACATTTCACAAAAAAAGATATATAGATGGCAAATAAACACATGAAATAATATTCAAAATCATTATTCATTAGGGAAATGCAAATTAAAACCACAATAAGATGGTTTTAGTAATATCAGCAGGTTTCTTCATTTTAACATGAGGAATGTGTCTGCAATGTTCTATACCCAAGATGCTATTTAAACCACACTATACATATATCACAATGGGTAAAATAATAAATAGTGACGCTATCAAATGCTGCCAAGGACGTGGAGAAAGAGGATCACTCATACATTGCTGGTGGGAATATAAAATGATACAGATGCTCTGGAAAACAGTTGGCAGTTTCTTTAAAAACTAAACAAGCAACCATGAGACACAGTAATTGCACTCCAGGCATTTATTCCAAAGAAATGAAGACTTACATTTACACAAAATGTGAATGACAGCACAGGAATGTTTATAGTAGCCCTATTCATAATAGCAAAAACTGGAAACAAACTATATGTCCTTCATCTGCCATATCATTGGACATGTCATTGGAGAGGAATGGTAAACAAATTATGATACATCCATACCATGGAATACTGCTCAGTAATAAAAGGGAATGAACTATTGATACATGCAACGATCTGGATAAATCTCCCAGAGAATCATGCTGAGTGTAAAAAGATAATCCCAAAAGGTTAAACACTGTGTTATTCAATTTATATAATATTCTTGAAATGACAAAATTACAGAAATAGAGAACAGATTAGTGGCTTCCAGGATTAAGGAGGAGGTGGGAGTGGGAGGGAACTAGGTGTGGCTATAAAAGGGCAACATGAGGGACCCTTGTGGTGACTGAAATGGTCTATCAATGTCAATACCCTAGTTGTAATTTTGTATTATAGTTTTGCAAAATGTTACCATTGGGGGAAATGGATAAAGGGTATGTGAGATCTCTCTGTATTATTTCTTACAACTGCATGAGAATCTACAATGATCTCAAAAGTTTAATTTAAGAAATTTAACTATTTCACGAGGTTTCTATCTATCTGTCTATTTATCTATCTATCTGTCTATCTATCTATCTATCTAAAAGGACATCTTTCACTTAAATGTAAAACAGGACTTGTGGAAGTTTTGGCTAGGACCCCAAAAGAGTAAATACAACATTCCAAAGTGAAGATCATGACCACCCTGTAGGACTTGTACAAGAAGTAGAGGATAATTGGCTGTAAGACTCTAAACTACCCACTTCAAAGGTCTCAAGTGATTGCGAATTGAAGATTGGAGAAAATTTTCAGAGATCACTGTTGTTATGCTGCGATACCACCCTTCCCCTCAAGGAAGAGAAGCAGAGGGTAGTCCCTCTTCACTGCAGAGAGGAGACCACTGGAAGAACTTAAGGTCTGAGAGACAGGGGAGTGTTTAATTCCATTTGGAAAATGGGAAGAGCTAGAAAATTGCTGGCTAGTTGCTCAGAGGGCAGAGACAAGAAGGGGTAATGTGGCTGTGTAGAGTGGCCACTCTGTAATAGGATTTCCGGTTTTCCTGAATTCCAGCAGTAAAATACTGCTCCCAGAGTCTGCTGGGACAAACAAATGTGGTTTTCCCATGAACCAAATGTGAGCCACTCACTTAAGAAAGCCAGCAAAGGGTCTTCTTAAGTTATGCCTAAAAGGATGGCCAAGAGGGTTAAACAGCCCTCTGCAGAAAGAAGCCAAGTAAACAAATAAAGCCAAGGACCAGTAGGAACAGAGGTGCATTAGCTCGTGTCATGGGAACCCACAGGGAGGGTGGAGTGGGTCTTGGAAGAACCCATGAAAATACTCATGAGAGAAAGAGTCAATTTAAACATCTTCCAAGTCCAGACAGTGCCAATGCTACATCATGAAGACATCCTAGTCAGTAAGAACTTTTCCTGCAAGCTGCTTCCATTAAATCCTCTCTTTCCCCACACTCCAACCCTGGGAAGGCCTGTAGGCCTCACCAAAATGGAGTTGGAGCATCCCTGTGGGGAAAGAGAGAAGCAGCAGACTGTACTGTCCTTTCTCTACCTCCCAGACTACTAGCTTCATGCCTCAACTGACCTGGAGATGGGGCAAGGACACAAGCCTTAACTCAAAAGCCAGAATTAAATTTGACCTCATATTTTGATTGTGAAAGTGAGATTGAAGCTTAAACAACCAAATAACTGTTCCTAATATCTAAGAATGCCATGAAAAAGCACAAAGTCTGCTTAAGTTTTCATCCAGGGACGGGGAAGAACAAGCCACTATAGAAGGGGTAGTGGGACAAAATAATTAATTTGCTTTACAAACGTACACTGCAAGTCCTGCTTGTTCAATATTCTAAATACAAAGGTAATCTTCCTAAACATTTTAACAAAATTTATCCAAGTTATACTATTTCCATATGTACATATGTGCATGTGTGTATATACACATACATACAGAATTATGTGCTTTTCCCCCCAGTACAAATATAATATCTGTCTTCAGCAACTACCAATCTAGATTAAATATAGACGTGGGAGAGTTGCTTCTTTATAATTCAATTTCCAGTTTTCCTAAATTAGTTTACTTACTGAGCAGTAATACAGTATTGCAAATGTGAAACTGCCTTATTTTGGCTTGAGATAAGTCTTACCATATGCAAAGTTCAGCCTTTAGAGGAACTGCGACACTACTACACTTGGAAATTTAAGTTAGAATCCAGATCCTATACAGCATGAGAAAATGTCCAATTTTTTCCCTTCAGTAAAGCTTCTCAAGTTTCTGTGGCCACTGGCCAGAGCTGTTTTTCTCTGCTAAATTTCACCAGGATCAACATGCTTTGATTTACTGTACATTTGACCCAGAGATGGATGGAAGAAAAAAACAGTAGAGATAATTCAAATCAGAGGAAATTCTGAATTACCAACAACTGGCCAGTGAATACTAATTCTGCACATTCCTAAGTCATCTGACATAAAAGCCCAGAGGATAATGCTGGGAATGGAGAATGGAGGGCGACTCCAGCGATTTCTTTTGGATGCACTCATTTATAATCTGAAACAGATTTAGCATGTTAGCCATAATTTGGTTTTAATATCTTTATTTTGAGCATATATACAACGTTTGCCATTTCATTTAAAAGTTAATTCTTTGGAATTGAGAAATTTAATTCTAAATATTGTAAAAATTACATTATTTACATTGGCTACCATAATATATCACACATTTTAAAGAATGTATACAACTAAATCCATATTTATGATAGTTGGTATAGAGTTACAAATAATTTTTAGCATTTTTCTGATCCAAATTTCTAGAATAGTGGCTTTCTTTGTCATAATAATTTTTTTTAAATGGTTCAAAGTCCACCACTACTTTGTAAATTTTAAGAACAGACTTTCTACTTTTTTTTTGGTTATAAAATGATATAAATATTTTAAATCTCAAACACATCATTAAAAAACTAAGAGCACTTGGGGCTGGCCCCGTGGCCGAGTGGTTAAGTCCGTGCGCTCCGCTGCAGGCGGCCCAGTGTTTCGTTGGTTTGAATCCTGGGCACGGACATGGCACTGCTCATCAAGCCACGCTGAGGCAGCGTCCCACATGCTACAACTAGAAGGACCCACAACGAAGAATATACAACTATGTACTGGGGGGCTTTGGGGAGAAAAAGGAAAAAATAAAATCTTTAAAAAAAAAAAAAAACTAAGAGCACTTAATGATGCTATTATACCATCAATCTCTCTTTGAATGTAGGTTTTATTTTTGATTCATCACAGAATGCACTTTCTTCTGCTAATTGTTTTTACCATTTCAAATTCTGGAGAGAGAGAATACTCAACTTCAAAGTAAGTATTAAGCTGTAAAAACAAACAAATTAAAAAACAGTGTAAAGCACTAAGGCTCTTAGTTTGAAGGAGCTACATCACAAAATTTCATATTCTTTTAAAAACCATAGAGTCAGCTCCAAGAAATATTTCCTTCATAAACAATTTCATTTCTTATGTAAGTATGGTAAATTTCTTAGAGAAAACCCTCTATGCTCCTCTATACACAGGTATTTCACTTACCTTGACAAGTTTTTAACTCAACATTTTTTGTAATACATAGAGATACAGTGACCTGTTAAAGAAAATAAATTATAAAAGAGATAAATTAGGGATAAACTGCTTTCATTTCAAAGGGATATTTCATTTTTAAATCTTTTATCCCATAGATCTTCAAAATAGTTACATTATTAGTGTTTTTAAAATAGGAATTAATTTACAGGGAATGTTTCAGGAATTGTATAGAAACAATAAAACTTTTATAGAAAGTAGCACTATATATGCATTTCTTCCTAATTATCTAACTATATTTAAAACCTTCTTACTTTTCTCTCTTCTTGATAGTTTAAATGCTTTAAAAATGTAATAAATGTTAAAAAAAATAACATTGCAATGCTATGTAGAGTGAATTAAAAAGAAATTCTGGGATTAGTCTGCTTGTTGGAAGAGCATTTCCCTTCATTTGGATTTTGTTGTGTTTACCTCTGAAACAGTTATTTTGGTATCAGCGATAAAGTATAATTGGTATCAATGACATTTATGCAACACAGTCAAAAACCTTAAGAATCTTTCCTTCCTGTCTTCTTCCCTTTTCTATTAATCAATTTAGAAGAAAGAAATCTTTCTCACATTTTATCTTTTGGTTTGCCCATTACTTGCCTATTTTTGTCTTTCAGTCTACTAACAGATACAATTTGTGACCGTCTTCCTTTCCCCTCCTCATATTACTTTAGCTTGTGCTATACAACTCTATGTCTTATTTTCCTAAGTTTCCTCTAGTTGACGTGGAAAATTACCTTGATGCAATGGTGGGGCAGCCACGCTATCCCAGAAGTCACAGAACAGACAGGCTCACAGACCAAATGGAGATTCTCAAATCACACACCCCTTTAAAGCAAGAGGAAAGAGATGGGGTAAGTTACCACACTTAAGATAGGATGCAAGTGGGAAGGACCACACTACATGAATCCCTAGTTATCCAATGTGCACATGTTCTCGCTCTCTCTCCCCTTTCTCTCTTTCTCTGCTGCAGCAGCCTTCCTCACTGATGATGGGGGGACGGATTGACATCTGGGAGAGGAGATCAACAGACAGAAGGTGCCTGGGGCCAATGATACACACTTGCTTTATTAAAAAGAAGCAGTGGCAAATATGCCTGGCCACAGATGTACTGCCTGCCAACAGCTATAGATACTATCAGCAATTTTTAGGCAAAGCACATTTGGGTCCAGAACACATCTAGGGGTGGCTAGTGTAAGGGTGATGCGTTTGTCAGCCCAGAGGTGGTATGATCATGATATGGTCTTTCCACCTACAAATAACACTCCTGTTTGTTCCATCATTCACTTCGTTTGGTCTATCTAGCTTTACATCTTTCAGTTACAGGGTTACCTAGTCTCTGTATTTAGCACATCTTATGAACTCTGCCTGTCTCACAAGCTACCTGCTTACTCACTATCTGTACTTAACACATCCTATGGGATTCATCAATCCCATTCTGTACTCTCTAGCAGCATTGATTGCTCAATTAATACAGCAAACTAACATTACACTAACCAACATTTAATTATTTTTTCTTCATCTATTCAGTTAAATGTATTGATATTACTTATAATGTCTTTGTATTATTTTATTCTTTTCATCTCGCCTTTTCTCATTTTCTTCTCAATTTTGGATACTTTGAAAAGACATTACAGATGTTTTGTGCAAATTCCCCAAATAAATCAAACTTATCCAATTCTCCACACAGTTCCATTTGATACTGACATGCAGTCTGTAAAATATAGCTCCTCTTACTTTATATTCCAGGAAACCAATGCTTTAAAAATATTATTATGTAATCACAATACCCTTAAAAAATCTATTAAGTGATGAGAAAAACAATCTTCAACCCTGCTTCTTACGTAGTTCATTTACTTGACCATGAGGCTTGTTAAATACTCCCTTGTGCCACAGCTGCACTAGATCTGAGCAGTTGTCCTGTTGAGCACAATAAAATGCCCAGACTGGGAAACCTTGTGCACCTAAAGGCTACAAATGATCTTCCAAGGATGATGGAGAGGATGTGGAATGCTAACTGGCCGTGTCCTATCCCTCCCCAATGCAGCTACTCACAACCAATCTTTCCAACAAAGCTCAGAGAAGGTACAGTTAGCCTCAATCAACAAGTTCATTAATAAGCATCTATTGAGCATCTGTCCTTTACAAGGCACCGAGAGAAAGCAGAAGTTATCAGCAGATTCTGACATTCATTCTATCTTAAGTGCTTTCCCAAAAAATTCTGCTTACTAAATGTTGTATGTTTTAAAAAGTCATTTTGGAGTCTCTCTGTTTATTTTAGGAGAATTTTCTCTTACCTAATTATAAAAATACCAAGAAAGAAGTCATGCTTGGGGGAAAACAGACAAAAGCTTGAATATGGCTGGAAGATTGAATAAATAAAGGAAAACAGGGGGCCGGCACCTTGGTCGAAGGGTTAAGTTTGCGCGCTCTGCTTCAGTGGCCCAGGGTTTCACCAGTTCGGATCCTGGGTGCGGACCTAGCACCTCTCATCAAGCCGTGCTGAGGTGGCATCCCACACAGCACAACTAGAAGGACCTACAACTAGAATATACACCTATGTACTGGAGGGCTTTGGAGAGAAGAAGAAAAAAAAATAAAGGAGAACAGAATGAGGCTGGGCAGGGCAGCAGAGGACTGTAGACAATGCTAAGTAGTTTAGATTTTTATCCCTCTGAACCTAGACCGGTGCTGTCCAATGTGGTAGCTCTAGCCAAATATGGTTAATTAAATTTAACTAAAATCAAATAAAAAATTAGTTCCTGAGTACAGTAGCCACATCTCAAGTGTTCAGTGGATACATATGGCTAGTGGCTACCATACTGGTTAGTGCAGGTAGCACATTTCTATCATTATAGAAAGTTCTATTGGACATCAGTGCCCTAGACATTGAGGAAATACGAAAAAATTTTGAGTTGGAAATGATATTTCCACAAATCTCTAGGAAGAATTTGATAAACCAGAAAGTGGTAGGCCAATTAGCCTATGAATCAGTATACATATTACCCACAGCTTGTGGTTGCAGAAATGAAGAATGGGTGTGTGTGTTTGTGTCAGTGTTGGGGACAGGGACAGAGCCACAGTCAGAGTAGGTATGGAGGTTGAAGAAGTGGAGTGTTCCTTATTTAGGAAAATGGGTGGATATTGATCCTATTTTCTAAAACAGGAAAACTAAAGGAATGGAGTTGATTTTTTATTTTGAGAGGATGGGGTTAGAATATGAATTTTGGTTTTATCTATTTTAAGTTTGAGATTGTGAGGGACATTCTAGGATGTTACACTAGGCAGTTGGATATATAGCCTTGGAGGAGTCATTCTCAAGGAGCTTAGGGGGAGATGCAGAAATTCTTATGTGGATCTCTCATTACTTCCTTAAAATAAGTGTCTAGAAGTGAAATTGGTTTTTCAAAGAGTATGAATTGTATGTGGGTGCTTTCCACATTTCTTCTCTCCCCTCTCCCTGTCACACACACATACTCCCTGGTGGCTCTTATGTTGCCATGATGAACAGATGTTACTGATAGGCATGTACAGTACTCTACAGGTGTGCTGATGTGCTCCGGTGTTTTAAAATTCATTGGCTGGGAGATAGATTTCAGAGTGATATCCCTTTCTTTGTGAAAACTTTGACAACTCTCTGCTGGATTCCAATGGCTTTGTAAACAGTATAAGGTAGTACCTATTTGCACCTTTATCAGTCCACGTTTCAGGGAGGAAAACAGAAATCAATTAAAGAATTCTAAGTAGATAGGATTTACTTTGGAGAAATGTTTACACAGGTGTTGAAGGCCAGGAGAGCAAAAAGGGGAAAGTCAGATTAAACCAGAAATTCCTAGTTGCAGGAAGCAGCTACCAGTCCTAGGGCTGGTAGAACAGAGGGCAAAGGTAGTACTATCCAAGCTCAAGAACAAACTCACTACTGGGGTGCCACATGCGGATGGGAAAAAGGAAGATAGGACTACCAGGCAAGGGCTGCTGCAACTGGCTCTGGGACTTTGTGAAGGATGCAGCCATTCCCCTGGATGCCAGAAGCAGAGAGTAAAAGAATGAAGAATCGTTTTTCCATGTTCCACCTTCTGATTTCCTGCCTGTGCCTTCTGTTGGCAGAATCTTACAGAAAGCCATCAGACAAGGAAGGCTGGGAAATGTAGTTTGCAGACTCTCAGCCCAATCATCACCACAGACCAGAGTTTAAGTGACTATGGGGCTCAAAGACCACAGGCAAATAAACTGCACTGCATTTTACCAGGAAAGAAAATGTTTCCTCCTTTAGGCAGTAAACTTCAGAAAGAAAAACTGACTTATTTGGTGTCTGATCTCTTACAGACTTGATAGACTTGAGGGTCTATCACAGTGACTACCATATAAAATGCTCCATGAATATCACTAAATATTTGAGTGAACAAACGCCTATCTCATAGTTAATAAATAGTTCAAATCATTATTCAACTTTCATGATTGGCAGGTAATGTAACTGATTTTTAAAGAAACACACTAACTCATAGGTACAAATTAGTATTGTCTTTAATAGTAGAGGCCCCTTGAAGTTAACATACTTCTTCAAACAGTGCTGCCATTACTCAGGAGACTTTTAGAACCCCTCTTTTGAAACTGCCTTTTAGAGCTAGTTCCTGAGAAATACATGACAATTAGTAAAATCTAGCCCTGCCCACTTTTGGCCTAGCCTGACTCACTGGTTTTCACTGGAAGATTTTATACTATTTTCAAAACTTAAGTCCACTCTCAAAGAATAAAGACTTGTTACTAACGTCAGTAAGCAGTTGCCCCAATTTCCAAGTAAACTTGAGGCCACGTGATGTCTTAATCTACTTCTGCCACTTTGAATGTGGAATAAGATGACAAACGTGGTGGATAACAATGGTAGTAACTTAAGACTTTGGTGTTTGTTGCCTTCTTATGAAGATGAGGAGAATCGCCACCTGCAACCCGCACCCCCAAAGACCTAGCAATTCAGTGGCTGTTTCTACTTTCCAGGGTTATTTCCAGCTAAGACAAATGTACAAGCACAATAGCCTCTGTCCTCTAGGACATGAACCAAGACACTTTTTACTATCACCCACCCACTTCCCTAAAGAATTCATAAAACGCATTATGGTAAAATAGGCAACTTCTCAAGGTCTGGTGAGGTGTGGAGAAGGGCACGGGCAGGTGCAGTGGCTGTCCCCTACCTGAAGGGAAAAGTAAGTAATAAAAATCTTAATAATAATAAACACTTCCATGGAGCTACATGCCAGGCTTTGTTCATTCTCTCAATCTTCACAACTCTGGGAGGCACTCTTATCACTCCCACTTTGCAAACGAGAAAACGGAGGCTTACGAGGTGCTTAAGCAGCCACGGCCACGCAGCTAGTAAACAGCAGCCCAGGGCTCAAACCTGGCAATCGAGCGCGAGTTTGTGCTTTCAGTAAAAAACCGGAATCCGGCAATTTTCAAAACGTCAGAGCTGCCAACTGGGGAGTTAATGGGAAAGGGAATTGACAAGACAGTCCACACCTTGGAAACAGCGCTGATACACCTAGGGAGGCTGACGTCCAGGAAAGAAAGGGCAAGCGAGAGGCCAGACGACGGGCACCCCGCCGGCGCGGCTGTGACAGCGCGGCTATAGCGGCCCAGGGACTTCCGAGAGCCCGGCAGCACCGCCTCCTCCCTCATTGGGCCCCGTCCAGGCGCCGTCACGCCGCCGGCGTCCAGGAGGAGGCGGGACTTCCGGGCTCGGTCAGGCAGGCCACTTCCGGCCGCGCCGGAAATACCCATTGAGGAAAGGAGAAGGGATGCCCGCCGTCTCAGTCTCCTGACGAATCTTGTATTCCATAGACTCGGAAGAAAAATTGGGCGGGGATTCATCCGCTCATTGCCAAGTTTTCGGGGTAGGGGAAAACGGGAGTTGGGACATGGACAGCCGCTTGCAGGAGATCCGGGAGCGGCAGAAGCTACGGCGACAGCTCCTCGCGCAGCAGGTCCGCGGCAGGGAGGGATCCCGAATGCGCGTGCGCGGCCGCCCTCTTTCCTCCGCCTGCATTCTCTGTCGCCTTCCTACCTGCTGCGGTGCAGTCCTTTCTGGTCCCGAGACCGTGATCCGTGGACCTACCAAACCTGTTTGTTCTCAACTCCCGCGGTGCCCTATTTTCCATTTTGTGTGGCGATCACTGTGGTGTTGCGAAACTGAACGCCACTGTTGGTCTTTAGCCCCCTTTTTGGAATGTCCGCCAAGTGTCTGGCACAGCTCAATGATGGGGATACAGAGCTTTGGTCTTTGTGAATAAATTACCGCAGTTCACGCAAGGAAAAATGACTCCTTATCCCCTAAATTTCTCTTCATTGTTTAAATGGTCTTCTCTGTCCTACCTGTCCTTTCTTGCCTTTCCTCGTAGTCCGCAACTCGAGATTGTGGCTTATTGTGAAATAGGTTTACAGTATTTTCTTTCGGATCATGTTTAAAGACTGCATTGGAAGTAGCTTGAGTGTAAATTTTAGATTCTGCATCTTGTGTATTTCATCCGCTATGGTATGTACAGTATCCTCGTCATCGCCCCCAGCTAATATTTAATTCACGCTCTGTATCAGTCAGGATAAACCCCTGATACAAGTAGCATTCTCTTCGCTTATGAAATAATGAAACAGAGACTCTAGAAGTTAAGTCATTTTTGCCCCGGGTCACTCACTGCTGTGCCGGAAAATTGAACCCAGGTTTGTTTCTCCAAACCAAAGCTTGTGTTCACTGCATCTTCTGTGTGAGTACGTTAACACTTGCTGATTAGTAGAGTACACACGCAGAAAATACAGATGGTGCATACCTCTACTTAAAATCAGAGGTTGCATTTTCCATTCTACCATTCTTTCAGATCAGTAAAAGTAATGGAAATGCTCATAGGCTTTAATGAGGCATCTTACTGTTATTTTTTCAGTAATAAATATTGATTATAGTAAATGGAGGTCTGAAGCCTGTCGTCTTCTATGATCTGATGAAAAGATTTATGGTATAGTGTTAAAAATGTAGGAATTTAGAATCAGATCTGTTGCTGTCTGCGCGGCTTTGTGATCTTGGATAAATCAGGTATCTTTTCTAAGCCGCCTGTTCCCCAACTTCTTTTATCATGTTATCTTCAGATAGGTTCAGTAGCTCCTTGTTGTCACCAAGGAAAGTTCTTATGCTTTAGTGTTGAAACCTATTTAACTCAAAATATATTCATAGAACAGTTATTTGTTGAGGGTTTTACTGTGTGCCAGGGGCTCTAGTAAGCATTGGCAATTCAGCTATGGATAATTAGTCCCTTCCCTCAGAGAGCTTCCAAAGTGCATAAAATTTAATAATGGCTGCCATTTCAGTCCTTCGTATGTGTCAAGACTGCTAAGCTTTTTACATACATTATCTTCGATTATACAAGTCAGATGCTATATTCATCTTATCGAGGAAGAAAATAAAACTTAAAGAATTTAAGGTACATGCTGAAGGCCACAAAGCTGGTAAGTTTGCAAGCTGCAGTTTAGGCCTTTCCATGCTCTTTCCAGTACACCTAGCTGCCTCCTAGTCTTCAGGTTGGCTAGGAAGCGTTCCACCTAAGTAAAGATGTCCGATATAATCAGTGACAGACTTCACTTTACCAACTGATTTCAGCTTTTCTTTCACTTACTTTTCTCTGTGTGAACAAGACAGACTGGTTTATTATTGGTTTGTGCAATATATACTTTACTATTTTTTTAAAGATTGTTCTCCTTCTTTCTGATTTCCTTCTATCCCCTGTGGCATAGCTCAGGTCAAAACTTCATGATGAAACCTATCCCAGTCTCCCTGGCTCAGGCTCTTCTTCCTTTGAGTTTTCAGTGTCCTTATTATTGAGTCTACTGCTATATATTACCTGTTGTCACACAGAATGTAAACAGTTGGAGTGCAAAATCTGCATTTAATTTCGGTTAGGTTAATCTTTTATCCTAACTGTTTCTTGCCCAGAGTAAGGTTTTAATAAATGTTTGTTGACTGACAAGCTCTTAGAGTAGAGCACAACTCAATGTGTATGATTTGCTTTTGTCTTCTGGAAGAAGACACTGGATGCAGACCATAATGGTGGCAGTTGATGCTACCACCAGCAATTTACATCTGCTTTTCATGTAACTTATGGCTTTGTTTCAGAAAATCATATATGCTTTCAAATAATACCAAATTGACATAATTATTCAAATAATGTGTTTGGTGGTACTGTGATGGAAAATCTATTATTCACTTACTCCAATCATTCCACAACTTTTAAAAAATGTTTGAGCATGAGAAGAAAATTATATATGTAAGCAGAATTTTGATTTAAAGCAGTTCTCTTGTAATACATTGAGTTCTAATTTAGGCCCTAGTAGGAAATCTCATTGGTTCATTCACATATTTATTGACCATCTACTGTGAGTCAGACATTATAGTAGCTGCCAAACATATAGATATCAACAGGACAGACAGAGTTCTTCCCTTCAGGGGGCTTGCATTTCAGTGGGGGATAGGTAAACAAAAGTAAGTTGATAAAATAATTGAAGTATGCAAATAACATAATTGGGAGTTGTGATAGAGACTGTGAAACAATAAAAATAGGGAGTAAACAAAAGTAAAACATGAAATTATTGAAAATTGTATTAAGTGCTATCATCTGATTAAGGAAATGGGGAGATACAAAGGAGAATAATGGTAGGAGGCTACCTGTTATCTATAGGTACAGTGTTCATGAAAGAAACTTCTTTGAGGAAGTAACTTATACTCATCTGAGAGAGGAGTCAGTCATGGGAAGAAGATTAGATAGCGTTCCAACTATGGGAAGCAGATGTGTCTTCCGACTAAAGAGAGTAGGGATCAGGAAGATTTTTATGGAGGAGTTAACATTTCAGGAACAGTTGATGAGTTGGAAGAGATTTATCATTGGAAAAACTTTGGGGCAGTCATGAAGTGGGTAGTCTAAAAAGGCAGTGGCAGTTGTTGAAGATCAAGACTGGGGACTTGCAGCTTTGATACTTAGTATGCCTTGTCCCCTTTCCTGAGCAAAAGGGACTGTTTAACACAGATTTCCTCATGCCCTTCTTGTGCTTAAAAATATTAAGTGCTTCCTCATGGCCTATAAATTGCATTCTCCGCTTCTTGGTTTGGCTTTTAAAGTTTTCCATGAACTGAGCCCACTCTGTGCAGGCAGCCTTATCTCAACTAGTAATTTGTTTATATTTGTTGTATTTTGCAAAATTTCCCCAATTGCCAACCAGAATTTGCATTATCATTTTTTAGGTATTAGTAAAGTTCAATATTGTGCCTACAATAATTATATAAAGACTTGGCTTGAATGAAAATGGATGGATTTTTATTACAGCATGGGATAAATAAGGTATAATATGTGAGCTGATGGATGCAGCATGTTTAACATGATGCCTGCCACACAATAAACACTGGAGTTAGCTGCTTTTTTGTTGTTATTGCTGCTACTACTAAATAGTGTTTTATTATTTACTTTAAAAGTAGGCGATTGGCTGAAGTTGTGTCTTAATTTCAAATATAACTAAGAGCTTAAAATGCTTTTCAGCTGTCACAAATCATTCTTAATTAACATGGTTTTGTTCCAAGTATTTCCAGTTTTTCCTGTGAAGTAATTAATCCATTTGCCTGCTGAAGTTGTTACAGGTTTATTTTTTTAAACTTGGTATATTAAATGCTGCTGCAAATGGCTGGAAAGGTGGTTCAATGCATTGTGATCTAATTTTTCATTTTCGCCCTTTCTAGTTGGGAGCTGAAAGTGCCGACAGCATTGGTGCTGTGTTAAATAGCAAAGATGAGCAGCGAGAAATCGCTGAAACAAGAGAAACTTGCAGGTCAGTTGAATAATTTATTTTTAGTGACATGTTCATAGTGTGAAAGGATCATTGTTTTAATAAATAATCCTAGGTATGAAGTATATTTTATCACAAGCATCAAAATAAAGATTTCATAAATATTGGTTTTTATGGTTAGTTTGTGGATAATGAAATAATTATTTTCTGAATATAATATGTTCTCATCTATAAACTAGTTAGAAATGGAATGTTAGACTAAGAATTAGCTTATATACCATAAATAAATAATTATATTTAAAAAATTCTTATAAAAGAAAACATACTTTACACAAAAAGTGGTATTCATTTGATAGTTTGTAAAGCATTTCAGGATTTTTCAGTATTCTAGTTATCAATTTGAATATCAGTTTTGCTCAAGACCAATTAGAATGATACATAATGTAGAAGTTTCTTTTTGCTGTACATCCCTTATAAAAACTTATTTTCTTATTTGGTTGCTTTCTCATAAAAATAAAGTACAGAACTATGAGTCAGGTTGTGTGACTTTTTAGATTTATAAACTGGGTGAATAGATACTGTTTAATCAGGGAAAATTTGCCTTGTTCTGTTTTATAGCCTCTTGTTTAATATTGTTAATAGATGCGTTTATATATCTAGTGTATGCTTGTGTGTGATACTTCAGTTTTAATTTTCAGGGCTTCCTATGATACCTCTGCTCCAAATGCAAAACGTAAGTATCAGGATGAAGGAGAAACAGATGAAGACAAAATGGAGGAATATAAGGCAAGTAGAGAATGGGGCAGTTTTATGGTCAAGAAAAAATAAATCCTTACAATAATAGATTCTTATCCCGGAAAACAAATCTGATGGAAAGCTGAATTTTAAAGTGTCTAAAATAATTGTTAGTAGCACATGTATAATCAGTTAAAGTAAGACCTTTATATCAGTTTCCTCGTTTTAACGCAAGAGGCGTGTGGATTGTTAGGTGACATATTTAAAGCAGTTAGCATAATGCCTAGTAAGCACTAGACAATGATATTCTTAAGTAACAGTAAGGAGGTGGGTGTATCAGAAACTTTGGATAATTGGGTCAAATTTTGAGAGGCTATAATACTATCTTGTTTGAGTGGTGTTATTCTATGTTAACAATATAGGATAGTACAGTTAAAATATTTTGGAAACTCATGGGCTAGACAGCAGCGTAGAACCATTTCTGAAAGAAACCCAGGAAAAAAGCACAACTTCTAAACTTGTAATTGCAATATTTAGTTGAAAAGAAAGTATTATGGATGAAAAGCCTATCTCCATTTTTTCAAATTAATTATTGTACAACTGTATTTAGTGGAGAAGAGAATGCATAGTTTCAATAAATCTCTAGAAGTTCAATGATATAATTACCTAATCTCATGAATATAGTCTTGTGTGGTGCATTTTGATATATGCTAATATGTAACTTAAATATTTGTGATTGTTTTAGGTCAAACCATATACAATGCCTAATATCTTAATATTTTTGATCTATAAAAATACTGGTTACATATGGTTTGATCTAATTTACATAAAATTACCTCATTGGTGGTCGTATCTTTCATGATTTGAGCTAAATTCTAATATTTATAGTATTACATATGAGATAATTCTAGACATTTCAGTCAACAGAATTGGTAGTTACAGATGATTATTATTGATGAGAATGAAAAGGAAATTTTTATTTTTTTTATTTTTTATTTTTTTAAAGATTTTATTTTTTTCCTCTTTCTCCCCAAAGCCCCCCGGTACATAGTTGTATATTCTTCGTTGTGGGTCCTTCTAGTTGTGGCATGTGGGACGCTGCCTCAGCGTGGTTTGATGAGCAGTGCCATGTCCACGCCCAGGATTCGAACCAACGAAACACTGGGCCGCCTGCAGTGGAACGCGCGAACTTAACCACTCAGCCACGGGGCCAGCCCCAAGAAATTTTTATTTTATTGTAAATATAACTAGTATGATGAGAAAGCAAAGACTTCAATGTTTGAGTTTAATGGTAATTCAAAAAATTTATTGTTAGGGAAATAAAATATTTATATTGAGTTTTAATACTCAAGATATCATAATACATAAAATATTCCTCCTGTACATAAAATGTCTTCTTTTTTCTTTTCTAAGGATGAACTAGAAATGCAACAGGAAGAAGAGAATTTGCCATATGAAGAAGAGATTTACAAAGATTCTAGTACTTTTCTCAAGGTAAATAAATAATTTTCAGATCTTATAGCTTTTCACATTTTAGCTCTGTGCCTGAAAAGATTTTAAATACTTATTTGTTTTCAAGATTTTTTTGAGTTATTGAGGGATCATTATTAAAAAGATGATTTAAAATTATGAAATATTCTTCTAAAACTTAGCTTTTTAGGATGAGATAATGCTATATTAATGTTTATAGCTACTGAAGAGTAATACTATCACTTTAGTTGTAGTGTTTTCAAATATTACTAATTTTTTTATCTATCTATCAGTCAGCTTATATTTTGTATGGCCTTATAATAGAAAACAAAATACAGTAGTCCCCTTTTATCTTTGGGTTTGCTTTCCACCGTTTCAGTTACCTGTGATCAACCACGTTCCAAAAATATTAAATGGAAAATTCCAGAAATAAACAATTCGTAAGTTTTAAATTGTATAGTATTCTGAGTAGTGTGATGAAATCTCGAGCCATCCTGCTCCATCCCACCTGGGACGTGAATTGTCCCTTTGTCCAGAGGCTCCACACTGTATAGGCTGCCCACCCGTCGGTCACTTAGTAACTATGTTGCTTATCAGATCGACTGTCTCAGTATCACAGTGCTTGTGTTCAAGTAACCCTTATTTTATTCAATAATGACCCCAAAGCGCAAGAGCAGTGATGCTGGCAATTCGGATATGCCAAAGAGAAGTTATTGTTGTTAATCTTTTATTTTGTCTAATTTATAAATTAAACTTTATCATGGGTATGTATGTATAGAAAAAACATAGGGTTTGGTACTACCTGTAGTTTCAGGCATCCACTGGGGATATTGGAACGTATCCTCCACTGGTAAGGGGGAGCTCCTGTACAGAGATAGTGTATCTGCCATCAGAGTGAATGCTGTTAATTTAATTTTGATTTTTTCTTTAGGGAACACAGAGTTTAAATCCCCACAATGATTACTGCCAACATTTTGTAGACACTGGACATAGACCTCAGAATTTCATCAGGGATGTAGGTATGTCACATTTGTTGGGAATATGCTATTGCTGACTCTTGATTACATGCATGCAATTTATCCATTTTGTGGAGTATTTCTAATAAAATTATTTTCCCCTTTCCATCCTCAGTATTTCTAGTACGCCCTCTTTTTCCATCCAGCAGTGTTACTGTTTTCCTTCTTTCCTTCCTCCCTCGCTCCCTCCTTCCCTCAAATCAAAAGGAAGAAAGGGAGAGCTGCTTCCGTTTGAGTCTGACCATCCCTGCATTTTTGTTTGACCTTGACTTGTTCCTTCGTCGATGTTCTTCCTTTCCTTATGGAGATCTGATTTCTGACCTATATTTTCCTTCTCTCTAAAGAGCTTCTTTTAACATTTCTTGCAAGGCAGATCTGCTGGCAACAAATCCTCTCAATTTTTATTTGTCTAAGAAAATCTTTATTTCTCCTTTACTTTTTTTTTTTTTTTAAAGATTTTATTTTTTTCCTTTTTCTCCCCAAAGCCCCCCGGTACATAGTTGTATATTCTTCGTTGTGGGTCCTTCTAGTTGTGGCATGTGGGACGCTGCCTCAGCGTGGTTTGATGAGCAGTGCCATGTCCGCGCCCAGGATTCGAACTAACGAAACACTGGGCCACCTGCAGCGGAGCGCACAAACTTAACCACTTGGCCACGGGGCCAGCCCCATTTCTCCTTTACTTTTGAAGGATAATTTCACAGAGTACAGAATTCTAGGTTGATTTTTTTTTTCTTTCAACACTTTAAATATTTCCCTCCACTCTTCTTGCTTACATGTTTCTGAGCAGAAGTTGGATATACTTCTAATCTTTGTTCCTATATAGGTACAGTGTTTTTTCCCTCTGATTTCTTTCAAGATTTTTTTTATCTTTGATTGTAGTTTGAAAATGATATGCCCAGGTGTAGGATTTTTGGCATTTATCCTGCTTGATGTTTTCTGAGCTTCCTTAATCTGTGGTTTGATATCTGACATTAATTTGGGGAAATTCTCAGTCATTATTGTTTCAAATATTTCTTCTGTGCCTCTCTCTCTTTCTCCTTTTGATATTTCCATTACACCCGTTACACCGTGTGTAGTCCCACAGTCCTTAGATATTCTGGCCCTTTTTTTTCCTTCAGTTTTTGTTCTCTTTGGTTTTCAGTTTTTGGGGTTTCTATTGAGATATCCTCAAGCACAGAGACTCTTTCCTTACCTGTGTCCAGTCTACTAATAAACCCATCAAAGTCATTATCCCTGAATTTTTAAAAATAGCTTTATGGAGATAATTAATGTACCACATAATTCACCCATTTAAGGATATAATTAAATTTTTTTTAGTATATCCACAGATTTGTGCAACCATTACCACAATCTAATTTAAGAACACTCCCCTAAAGAAACCCAGTACTTATTAGCAATGAATTCCCATTCCCTCCCTCTCGTTGGTCCTCCGGCCTTAAGTAACCACTAATTGACTTCCTGTCTATCAATTTGCCTTTTCTAGATATTTCATAAAAATGGAATCATACAATATGTGATATTTTGTGACTGGCTTCTTTTACATAGTATAATGTTTTCAGGGTCATTGATGTTGTAGCATATATCAGTACTTTATTTCTTTTTATTGCCAAATAATACTCCATTGTATGTATATACCACATTTTGTTTATCCATTTTTTTGAATTGTTTCCATTTTTTGGCTGTTATAAACAATGCTGCTGTGAATATTCATATAAAGTTTTTGTGTGAACATATGCTTTTATTTCTCTTGGGTATACATCTAATGGAACTGTTGGGTCACGTGGTAACTCCGTGTTTAACTTTTTGAGGAACCGCTCAATTGTCTTTGAAAGCAGCTGCACCATTTTACATTCCTACCAGCAGTGTATGAGGGTTCCAGTTTCTTCTCGTCCTTGATACTTAGTGTCTTTTCGATTACAGTCATCCTAGTGGATAGGAAGTAGTATTTCATTGTGGTTTTGATTTGTATTTCCCTAGTGACTAATGATATTAAGCATCTTTTCATGTTTATTGGCCATTTAAAAACCTGCATGGAGAAATGTCCAAACCATTTGCTTATTTTTAATTGGTTATTTATCAGACATTTGGGTTGCAAGTATTTTCTCCCATTCTGTGGCTTGTCTTTTCACTTTTTGAAGGTATCATTTGCAGCACAAAAATTTTAATTTTGATGTAATCCAATTTATTTTTTCTTTTGTTGCTTGTAAGCAACATTGCTCTTGAAGTAAAAACTGATTTTAATGTTTTCATGAGCAAAATTTAGATGTAGCTATAAAAAGTTATGATAATGCTAAGTGAAATAAGCCAGTCACAGAAGGACAAATATGCATGTACTTATAGAGGTACCTAAAATAGTATGTGTAATATGATAAATACATACACTTTTATGACGTACCTCATAGAAGCAGAGAATAGAACAGTGGTTATCAGGGGCTGGAGGGAGGGGAAAATAGGGAGTTGTTCAACTGGTATAAGGTTTCAACTATGCGAGATGAATTAGTTCTAGGGATCTGCTCTATAGCATAGTACCTGTAGTTAGCAACTGTTGGCTATAGTCAACAATACTTTACACATTTGTTTAGAGGATAGGTCTCATCCTACGTAAGTGTTCTTACCACTCTCACACACACATACACATACATAGCCCCCAGAGGAACACAAGGATACTTTTGAAGGTGACAAATATGTCTTGTTACCTTGATTATGGTGATGGCTTCACAGGTGTATGCATATGTTCAAACTCATCGAACGGTATACATTAAATATGTGTGTACTTTTTTGTCTATCAGTTATACTTAAACAAGGCTTTTTTAAAAAAAAGTTGTCGTATAACCAGATTTTGTTATCAGCCGTTCCGCTTTTAAGGCATCCTTCCCCAAGGCAAAGAAAATGTCCTTAGGAAACTGTTAAGGGTTGAGAAGTTGCCCTTTAGGTTTTGTAGATAATTGAGAGCTGACTCTACTGTGATTGAAACCTGACTATAATAAAATCTTCAAACTTGTTTTATTTGAAATTAGATCTGTAACCACTGATTGAGGAGGCTTTACAAAATCTTTTACTTTTACTTTTTGATATGAAAATTACTAATATGTACTTTCGGTTTTCAAATTAAGATGTTTACATAATTTATGTTGCTATGAATGTGCTGCTTGTGGGGGGAAAAGAAGAGCTTTTAGGAATATTTGATAGTCAAAGCCCTAGGTACCCCTACAGTTTTTTAAACAGGCATTATGCCCTTTTACCTAAAATCTGTTCTGAGGCACAGAGATCTAAAATATTTTTGAGGACCTGGGAACAATGAATCTCCTGTTCTTAAGTGCCCTTTGTGGGACTTGTAGATGGTTTTCAAGGTCCTAAGCCTAAAAGCATATATATGAGGATTTGGTTTGTAATAATATGGAGATGTGAGATCTTTAAAACTATAAATATTGATGTAGGAAATATTCTTAGAGAAGGCATCTTGTCCTGGAATTGGGAGTTCAGTTTAGATAAGTAATCAGAGTGAGAGCTAATCTACTGTTAGAGACTGGTTATCTTCTTAACTGGATGTGTTCTGGGATTGTATCCACAAGGCATAGCCAATTAATGTAAGATCATTAGCAGTATTTCTCTCACTCTAACTATTCTTTGTCTCTTCCTATACCTAATCATAAAGAAACAAAAGAACTATTCATTTTCTCTGCTTTGGATAACTATCTAATAAGCTAAGTAAAAGTCTCAACAATCACTAGATTCTTTAGGAGGAAGAATCTTTTTAGTTAAAAGAAAGGGGAAAGAAAGCATGATAGAAAGGCAGTTTTTTGAGAACAGAGTGGCTAAACTTGATGCTATGAGCAGATTATTTAACTTAATAATAAATATGAGAAATTAAATGGTTTTCGACTTGAACTGGGCTTTAGGACATCTGGGTTTTTGCCTGCATATGGAATTAGGGTCAGTAAGTATGAACTGTATATATGAAATGTTTAAAAATACTCAAAATTAACTTTTTTCAAAGGATATGAAAATAAAGTGGTGTGTGTGCGTTGTTTTGTTTGCCTGAGAGGCTCATAGCCTCTGAATTCACTGATAGTAACATGAGTTGTATTAAAATTAGAACTTACTGTTTTTCCTCCTCAGGTTTGGCTGACAGATTTGAAGAATACCCTAAACTGAGGGAGCTCATCAGGCTGAAGGATGAGTTAATAGCTAAATCTAACACTCCTCCTATGTAAGTGTTTTTTTCAATTACTCTTTGTTCCCAACACAGGCTCAAAATGTCAATTTTTTTATCCTGTAACCTTTCTGTTTGAAAAAAATTCAGCACGTTTATAAGTTAACACACTCTGTTTCTTCTTTATAGTAAAATATATTAGTTTGAAACTCCAGTATTGAGTACACAGTAGGTTCTCATTTAATTTGTTTTCAATTTTCTAGATAATTTGCTTAAAGTGTCTTTAAATGTGTTTTTCTTAGAAAATCATTCATGTTTGTTGTATTCTTGAATTTCTTAAAATGTTTTTAAATAACTTTTCTTCTCAAAAAGTAATTTATTTATTGGAGAAAGTTTAGGAAACTCAGATAAAGGAAAAGAAGAAAATAAAAACTCATCATAACTCAGCACCCAGGGATACTATTCTTAACATTTTGGAATATGAAAATTCATTTTAACCTTTGGTAAACAGAATAGTGTTTTCCTCAAAAATGGGTGTAATGTCTTTGAAGTTGGAGAATATGTTTATTTCACATTTAGCCTACTTTGAATGTTTTGCACATTGAACAATTTGCTAAAACGTATACTATTAGTGATTAGAAGAACCACGAAGAAGTCTGAGTATGTGGGGAAAAATGTTAGCCAACTCTACTGTTCATCCAATTTAAAAGACTTATATCTGAAGTGTTTTTTTTTAAAACTATATCACTCTAGCATATCAGAGATTTGTTTACATTTTTTTAAAGATTTTATTTTTTCCTTTTTCTCCCAAAGCTCCCCGGTACATAGTTGTATATTTTTAGTTGTGGCATGTGGGATGCCACCTCAGTCTGGCTTCATGAGTGGTGCCGTGTCCGTGCCCAGGATTCGAACTGGCGAAACCCTGGGCCACCGAAGCGGTGCGCACGAACTTAACCACTCAGCCACGGGGCTCGCCCCTGAAGTATTTTATATGTAAAGTACTTTCACACTATGTGGAAATAACCCGTCAGTAGAAGCTATTAGTAATTTATACTAGGTAACTAGAAAAGACTATTAATATGAACAATTTTAATAACAAACTAATGAAAGAAAATTATGCCATTCTTTAGAAGCTGCTTTTCAGAAGGAGGAATTTAAAACTTACAGACGAGTGGTTTTCCTAACCTAACTAAACAGTTGAGAAAAAAGTAATGTGATATTTCTTAGAAAATTCAGATGATAATGGAAAGGGCTCTGAGACTCACATCTGAGTACAGATTTCCAGTGTAAAAATGAGAGACATTTATATTCTGGGTGTAAATGGGGGAATATGATTTTACTTTGTAGTGTGAATATATCCGTCTCCTAGTGGAGAGCACGGGTAGATACTCTCTGTACTGAAGAAAGATGCCCTTCCCTCAAGATATCAACAATTACCCCGTGCTTATGTCCTAAATAGTGTTTAGTAATATTTAAGAAATTTCTTTCATTACCATCTGTAAGATACTGGAAAATCTCTTACTCACTTTTTGTGCTTTAATCAAATAGGTACTTACAAGCAGATATAGAAGCCTTTGACATCAGAGAACTAACACCCAAGTTTGATGTGATTCTTCTGGAACCCCCTTTAGAAGAATATTATAGAGAGACTGGCATCACTGCTAATGAAAAATGCTGGACTTGGGATGATGTATGATGAAACTTTCTACATTGTAATGAATTATTATTTTTCACATAAACATATGTTTATTTGATCAGAAAGTAAGATTATAAATATCACCCCTACGTTTTAGGAATCCTAAATATAGATTTATAGTATATATTGTGGCTGAAGGTCCAAGGTACACTAACAAATATTACAGTATCTTTAGTTTGATTCTTCTTTTTGAGGCGAAAGTTGAGCAGGTAGTGAGTAAATAGTCTCTAGAAGACTCACAATTCCAGTCTTAGAGTGCTTGGATGTACAGCTGGAAAAGTCTAAAGACACAATGGTTGATGCTGCATTTCGTTAGTTTTAGTAACATGAGAGTATAAATACATGTATATATAAAACGTGATTTCTGCTCTTCAAGGAACTTAGAAAGTGGATAAAAAGGATATATCATTTCAGTATAATGTAATTGTGATAAAGTTATATTTTCCTATTCAGTATAATGTAATTGTGATAAAATTTTATTTTCCTAAATAAAATTAAGCAAGCTGATAACTTCAGTTAGTTACATAAAGTTTTTATGTTTTTACTAGTCAATAATAAAAATAAATCATTATTGAGTACCAATCTGTACTAGGCAATGATACTTTGGCGAGATCTTGTGCTGGGGCTTGAGGGGAAGAGTTAGGGATGACTCAAAGATTTGAATCCTGGGCTAAGTGGACTGAGTTATCAGCAGTCGAGAGAGAGTGAATTTAGGAAGAAGAGCAGGATTAGAGGGTTAGATAATAAGATGTTGATTTTGAGGTGTATGTGAGACAGTCAAGTAGAGGTTGTAATAGGAAATGAAACTCGAAGGACAGGCGAATCTGGTCTCAAAATATAGATTTTAGAGGATTAGCACATTAAACCTGTGAGAACAGTTGAATTTGTCCTAAGATAGTGTCTCAATTAAGGTAAAATGTGGATTGACAGTAAAGCCTCAGGAAACTTTACATTTAGGAGGCACATGTCAAAGAGATGTGAAGAGAATGGGTCAGAGATGAATGAGGAGAACCGACAGAGTGTGATGTCAGGGAAGCCAAGGGAGTAGAGAATTTCAAGGAGATTCTCAAGGGGCATTGAGCCCAGAGGAGAGGTAGAGAAAGGAAAGGACTACAGAACTCTAAGACTGGTGTTGCCCAGGAGACGGCTTTGAATCCCTGCATGTCCTCTGCTGAGTTCATGGTAGTTGCCGTTGTTCAGATTATTTATTCCTCTTCAAGATATACCTCCAGTTCTTCTGCCTTGGAGCTTTTCCTAGCGGCTTCAATACCTCTGGCACTTTTATTTTACATTTGTATGGCTCTTATCACTTTAAAAGCATCCCCCACCCCATGATAAATGTAGTCTGTGCTTATTGTTGAAATTCAGGAAAGTATACAATATATAGTATTTCCAAGACTTAAGGGTAAGGATTTAACTACTCTTGATATATATTGCTGAGAAGTTTTCCAGGTACATTGCACAAATTTATGTTCCTTCCAATAGTGTTTAAGACACATCTATTCCGCCATATCCTCATCACAATTGATTAATAATATAAAAACAATCATGGTCAGTTTAGTCAAAAGAAAAGAAAATTGAAAAAATAAATCTCATTATGTCTTTGATTAGTAGTTAGGTTGTACTTTATTTTCTCTAGCTCATCTCTGAGGTTTGGTCATTGAAGGCACAAGAGCTCCAATTATATGTGACAAACTAAGAGACTTTGAAATAAAGGAATTCCATTTTATATGCATATTCTTGATTTTAGTTTAATTTCACTGAACAGCTCTGGCTGGCATATTGAAAAGTTTTGTCTGGCCCCAGAGCCCTAAGCTCTTTATCTTTATGTGATAATATCCTAAAGAAACTGCCAGTAGTTAATATAATAAATAAATGTAAATAAGACAAATATTTGGCTTTCACAAGTGTTCTTTTTACCTAAGAGAGTCAGTAGTGGTCAGTGTGTTTGGGATAAGGCTATAATCACTTATTTGCAATTCCAACACTAAGCATTTAGAATTGTAGTATTAAGAGAATAATGTGCTTAATGCTTTTCACTAATGTGTGTCATCACTTATCTTTAGCTATACCACATATAAATGTTATGTAGGAGTGTGTGTGTGTGTTTTACATATTTATCCGTTTATTTATTCATTTTCCTATAAGAATATCAGATGAGGAGAGATTTCAAGACTTAAATAGTTAGAAGTATGAAACTGAATAGGTTTATACATATTGTAACTTACGTCCATTGTTACTGTCAAATAATGTTTTTCTACCTAGGTAAGTTAGAGATGATATGGTTATAACTTAAATGGATCTGTTATTCAGGTAGATGTTAAGATTTTTCTCAATACATGAAACTAATAATATTTGCTTTATCCATGGTCTCTGAAACTTTTTGACTGTGACAGAAAGCTGGAAGAAACAGAATACCATATAAAATGGTAGCTTTTACAGTCATTTGTACGAGTATATTGTATTCCCCAAATTTAGTGATTTAATTTCCTTTTCCCCCCCAGACCCCCCCAAGACATAGTTGTGTATTCTGGTTGTGTTTGTGTGTGCCCTGGGTTGTGCCATGTGGGACGCTGCCCCAACACGGCCCAGTGAGCACCCAGGACCTGAACCAGCGAAACCCTGGGCTGCAGAAGTGGAGCGTGCGGATTTAACCACCGGGCCGTGGGGCTGGCCCCTAGTGATTTCATTTTTGAAGAACTTTTTTCTTAAGGTGACACACTCAACACGTACAAGGCAAACAGAATTAGAGACTATGTTTTTTTGGCATTTCAGACTTAAAGTAGTCATTATAATAAAATATGTATACTGATTTATTTTATCTAGGACTCTTCTATAGATATTGGAAGCCAAGTCTTCCTCAAACATTTGTTGCTAAATTCATTTTCATTTTGCCCCTAACTTTGGGATAATTTAACCTCTTTTTATTTCAGTTTCTTTTTCTGTAAATGGTAAAAAGTTGCACTCAAAGCTACATCTTATAAAATTCCATAATCCTATAAATAGGGTTTTCTATAACCTCTTTCCATATAAAATCAAGTGTATCTGTGTGTATGCATGCATGTGTGTGTGTGTTGTCTTAATCCAGAATAAGAAAACAACAGTAGGACAAGTCTTGTTTTGTTTTTTAAGAATGTCCTTTATTTATTTTTTGCTGAGGAAGATTCACCCTGAGCTAACATCTGTTGCCAATCTTCCTCTTTTTTTTTTGTTTGAGGAAGGTGAGACCTGAGCTAACACCTGTGCCAGTCTTTCTGTACTTTATATGTGGGCTGCTGCCACAGCATGGCTGACAAATGGTGTAGGTCTGTGCCTGGGATCCAAATCCACAAACCCAGACCACTGAAGTGGAGTGTGCCTAACCCAATCACGATGCCACAGGGCTGGCCCTGACAGTAGGACAAGTTTTAAGGATAAAATTTGTGTTCCATTATATTTCCTAGGGAAAATTAGTACATTTAAAGAACGCATCTACTGAAAGTCCTGATAGACCTCATAATGGTTGTTCTTTTGGATTTAGGGTGAAGGGGAAACAAAATACTCTTATGCAATATTGTTTTGGTTTCTTCTAGATTATGAAGTTAGAAATTGATGAGATTGCAGCTCCTCGGTCATTTATTTTTCTCTGGTGTGGTTCCGGAGAGGGATTGGACCTTGGAAGAGTGGTAAGATGGTGTCTTTTAAAGTGGATTTTTAAATTCATAAGACAAAATAGAATCCAGTATGTTACATAAGAGGTTCAAAGATTAATGTTATTTTGTCCTTCGTTTCTTGAATAGTACTAAAATATTCAGAAGAAAATAAAGTGTTCAGAAAACAACGTACGAATGGTAGTTGCCTGTAGTTAACTAGCACTAGGGAAAAATAAATCAAGCTATAATTTATTACATCTGCAGGAAGACGACAGTGTAGAGATTGGAAACTAAATTAAAGCACAAAAAGAAGCTGCGTAGTATCATTTACTGCTCACTGTGAGTGGCTAAAAAGTATTCTGAATAGCAGTAACTCCTAAATTCCAAATAGAAGCCAAATCAAATTGAACAAATAACACAGCATCTGGAACACATAGCTTGAATGAATGAATGAGAGTGAGAGAAAACTTATAGCATCTCAATTTTTAAGTACCTGATATTTAATTGTATTTCAGAACTTTTTCTTTTTTGACTGGTGTATTTTGGATTTTTAAAGACAAAATAACATGTGCTTTTTTGTTTAAGAGTAATGGGAGCATTGTGGCTTGGTATCAGGAGTCAGTTTTGGTCTCAATTCTGCTGTCCAACAGTGAAACTTTGTGTAAAGAGATATTTACTTTTGTGGGTGTCAGTTTCCTCACTTCTTATTGGATGATACTTTTCATTTTTAGGATATATTACTTGTTATACAGCCAATGATCTCATTTAGTTCTAGTAATTTTAGGAGGTGTCCATTTGACAGGTGAAGAATTAAGGTAGGATTATATTGAGATAAATTTGTGTTCAACTCCTGAAATTCTACAGTTACTTTGTATTGCTTGTATAAATAGCAATTTGAGAATGGTGGATAACATCATTGCTTCTATTATTTATTAACTCCAAGGTAAGACTATAACTGTATTCCAGCTGGGTATCTATTTTTTTGCTGGCTCCTCCCCAAGATGCTATGGAAAAGCTAAGAAAATGGAAGCATACTGCATATTTTTATAGGTATATTGGTGTTTACCTTTATTGTCTCCAATGTGTGACTTTGGGCTTTCCTCCTACCCTGCACATTAGGTTGAAAGTGATTAGGAGGTTTTGTCTTATTTGCTTATGATTGCAATTAATCAGCATGGGAAATACTCTTGTGCTTTTGGTAAATGGATTAGGGAGGGTGTGTAGGACTTATGCCCTTGTGGCATTTAATGAGCATCCAGTACAAAACAAATATTTGACAACAGGAACAGATGCTGAACTTGATTTTTGAGATTTTAAAATAAAAATCCAAGTTTTATTTTGAGTTGTATCTCACTTGACACAAGAAGAGCATTTCCGAAAAGTGCATGTTTTATGTCCCACTGTATCTTTCTGTGTACTCGATCATAGTACTAGCAACATTGTACTGCACAATTTGCTTAGGTCCCCCTACTTTGCTCTTAAATCGGCTGGTGGAAAAGACTATGCCTTCTTCATGTTTTTATTCCCAGCGGCTAGCCAGCACCTGCATGTGGTAGGCCCTCGAAAAGCCACTCTGATTGACATATTAGCTAGTGTTTGCCGTGTGTTCATATATAACAGATTCTAGGACACTAAGGTTCAGATCTCTCTGTTTTCTAGATTATGTAAAGGTAAAAGTAAAGTGTTACCTAATAAAGAGATATACATATCAATTTTAAATCTTTGAATTTTTTGAGTTGTTGGTATTAAATACATAAAAATAGCATTTTATAAGCCTCTCATTTGAAAAGAAGTTATCAATTAGAACATTTTCAACAATTTTTAGCTTTGTCAAGGATAAGAAATCGAGGTGACAGGAATCAAATTATCTTTTAAATTATTTTATGATTAAAGAGTAGCTGAGTGTTTTCTTAGGATTTAAAACTCACTTTCCATTGATGACAACAGAAAGTCATATTAAAGAATTGAAGTATTATGTAATCTTTTCTGTGTTTTGATATTCAACCATATATGGTATATTAATATCCAAAAAGTGTATATGTATTCTGTATAATCACTATATTTAAAGACAAGTACTAATTTCTTTTTCTCTAATTCTGCACTAAAACAAATTTACTGTTACATCTTGGAATTTAGTGTCTCAAACCTCTAGGAAATGTTTTAATGCTAGTTGGTTAAGTATTGTTTATTTCTTTTAGCTAAGGATTTCTTTTTTTAATTCTTTCATTTCTAGTGTTTACGCAAGTGGGGTTACAGAAGATGTGAAGATATTTGTTGGATTAAAACCAATAAAAACAATCCTGGGAAGACTAAGACTTTAGATCCAAAGGCTGTCTTCCAGAGAACAAAGGTATTGCCTTTATTATTTTGTTTTCTTTGTTTTCATTATTTTCTCTGAAGCTTTTCCACATGACTGTATAGTGTTTAATTAATTTTAGTGGAAAGGTCCTTTTCTTAGACTTGTACAAATGGCATCGAGCTTTGCACTGATACATCCAAGTCAATTTTAAAATATTCACTATGTTCGATCAACTCCACTGTGCTGGAGAAGGTAATCTATATTCCTATGTGCCCTAAACTGCTATTATTCTAAGTCAGATATGGGCTTTTGATACCTCTGACCCCCCCAGAGCGTTTTTTTTTCCTAGGCTCAGAAAAAAGAGATGGCATCAAGACTCACAGCTGCCCAGCTTAGAGGCATATTTCTCTCCTCTTCCCTTCTTTTTCCTACATCAGAACCCTGAGAACCTCTGCTTCATATGACTGCCCTGCTAGTATCAGGCTTTACTAGTTGTCGTCCAGTCTTTCACTCTTCAGAGAGCCACTGGTGGGAGGGTCTTTCTTATTAAGTCTTTCTTGGACTGGAAAATTCTTTTGAAGGTTCTTTTGAAGGGTAACCTATGTCATCCTTGCTACTATTGGTTCATGGAGTCAAGTGATAGATTAAATTTACTTAATCCATACTTCTGCCATCCAGATTAAATAGAGAAGTTCAAAAAACAACAACAAAAAAAAGAAAATTGTTTGATTTTCACATTTACTTATATTATGTAGAAGTCTATATCCATGTTTGAAGTTTCCCTCTCCATATAAAAAGGCTTGCACGTTGTATATAGTTTTGATCTTCGCTCATATGAGGCCCAGTATAACATCATTTTAAGATTCCAATGTCAAGTACCATGTTTCCATAACTGGTGAAAACAAGTTATTATCAAGTGTTGCAGAAGAAAAGACTCCATGGTCATTGACTCAGTTCTAAATCGTGGGCCCTACGTTTAAGACTCTCATGTCAGTCTTCCCTGGCAATCTTCCCACATTCAGAGATCCAGGTTTTCCTGTTGAATTTTTGCCCCTAGAACTATATCCCCAAATTCAGAGAAACGAGGATTGTTTGGGAATTGGGGATATTGGAAATATAAAATCTTGTGAAATATGACTGTTGATGAAAAGATAATAAAGAATCTGCTCTTATTGTTATTTAGGAACACTGCCTTATGGGGATCAAAGGAACTGTGAAGCGTAGCACAGATGGGGACTTCATTCATGCTAATGTTGACATTGACTTGATTATCACAGAAGAACCTGAAATTGGCAATATAGAAAAGCCTGTCGAAATTTTTCATATAATTGAACATTTTTGTCTTGGTAGAAGACGCCTTCATCTATTTGGAAGAGATAGTACAATTCGACCAGGTAGGACCTCAGAAAAATTTTTTAAAAAACTTTATGGTTTCTTGGTATATAAGTGTCAAGAAATAGCACACAGAGCTGTGTAAAATAAAATTCTTATGGGGGCCGGGCCCTTGGCTGAGTGGTTCAGTTCGCGCACTCTGCTTCGGTGGCCAAGGGTTTCGCCAGTTTGGATCCTGGGTGCAGACCCAGCACCGCTCATCAGGCCACGCTGAGGCGGCCTCCCACATAGCACAACCAGAGTGACCTACAACTAGAATACACAACTATGTACTGGGGGACTTTGGGGAGAAGAAGAAGAAGAAAAACTAAAAAAGATTGGTAACAGATGTTAGCTCAGTGCCAATCTTAAAAAGTAAAGTAAAATAAAATTCTTATGATGTGTTTGCCTCCTCTTGTTGCTGTGCTTCCAATCTGCCAAGCTCATTCTTGTCTCAGTACTCTTCCAGGGCCCTATCTCCTTCCATTCAAGTACCTGACAGACCTTTCCTCACATCCCTGTCTAAACCAGCCAGCTTCGCGCTCCATGCCCCTCCTCCTGCCACTCTTTCGCATTAATCTCTCTTCTTTTTCTTCTTGGCACTTATCTGAATTATAGGTTCATTTGGGCATATATTTATAGTGAGTCTCTCCAGCATGCAGTCTCATCGAAGGCAAAGATTGTCTTTTTCACTCCTTTCTAGCGAGCATTCAGATCATTCAGAAATATTGTGTTGAATGAAGAAATGCATAAATGAATGATTGAAAAAAAATATAAAAGCAATCTGTTTGTCCTTACCATGTTAGAAATATGATTTAAAGATGGAAAGAATCAGAATCTTTTTAGTTTTAAACAGTCTCCATTTTACAAAAAGTAAGAAAAAGTTGAAGAAGTTATAGTAGAATAATTGGCCTTCAGAGTACCTGAGAATTTAGAAGAAACTGACGTTCATTCTAAAAAAAAAATCTTTAAAGTGGCCTTAACTGGTATGTGTAACATAATCCATCCTCCTCACCCTGCCAGCGCAGCAGCTGTTTCCGTGTGGGTGTGCTTTGATGAACACAATAACTTGAAAATATTGCAGTTATAGAAAGTGATGGTCTCAAATTTCATAAAATTATGTGAAATAAAGTAAAATTGAAGTCTCTTTACAAAGAAGTTTTGTGTGTGTGAAATGTATACTCTGTGGTTTGGCTTTAGAGAGAACGTTCATCCTATATTTAAAAATAAATGTCTTTTCTCGTGACAGTTTGTTATTCAGTATTGTGTTGCTTAAGTTATCATTTTGTTACTGCTTTTTGGCTTAATATTGTGGTCAAACAACATACACCAAATTCACAAGAATAAACATATGGTTAGTTTGTCATCCATTTTATCTTCTAACTGAATTGTTTAGCCAATCTATATTTAACATAATTCCTGATATATTTGGGCATAAATTACAGCTTACTGTTTGCTTACCTCTCAGTATCACCTGTTCTGTGTTCCTTTTTCTCTCATTTCTTTTGAATGAAGTATTCTTTTATTATTCCATCTTTCTTTTTATTAGCTTGTCAGATATTCTTTCATTTTTCCTTCAGCAGTTGTCTTGGACATGGCAGCATGCATCCTTGAATTATTAAAGTCTAAATTAAAATAGTCTATTTTAAAGTGTGGGAATGCTATGGTTTCAACTTTATAGGTTCCTTATTTTTTTAACCAATTTTTGTCAATATGTATACAGTTGATTCTAAGTTTTTATGTGCATAGTATATATACAGCTGTAAACAAACTTTGAGTTATTTAGAGTTCCTCTGCACATGTATGTGAACAGCATGTTTGGAAGTTCTGTGCATGATTTTATTCTCATATCGAAGGAAAGATATTTTGGCAGCAGAGCTTCTGACAAGCAAATGTTTCCTCTTCATTGGCTTAAAAGACAGTAACGCCAATAGATACTCGACTGGAGGGGTGTATTTTTCAGGAAGTGTAGATGTCCCTATATACTGAATATCAAGATTATGGCTTTAGTGTTTGAGGAAATAAGGAACAGATTTTTCTCTTCCATCATTAACCTGTCCTACCCAAAAATAGCTCCCAAATCAGGGAACAATCTCTAGTGGCAACTGCTGTTTAAAGGAAGTAGAAAACTTTAAAGAAAAGGCAAAACTATTTCAAGAGTAAAAAGAAACATCAAACAGATGGTAATCTTTTAATACTAATTGAAAAATCAGTGTAACAACATTAAGGAAAGTTTTGAAGAGAAAAAAAGATTCAATCTCACTACCTCCAAGAATTATTTTCATTTTTTACATAGTACTTTCCAGTCCTCTTGTAAATATAAATTTTCACAGAATTGTAGTCATCATTTTGTGTTCTTGGTATTATGTCAAATATATTTCTACATTTTAAATGATTATTTATAATCATTTTAATGGCTTTATAGCATTGCTTTAATTAAAGTGTTTGTTTTTAAACATGAGTAGGAGAACCTAAGGAGTGGAGGGAATAGTTGAGTGTAGTTACAGGTAGAAGCATAAGCAGCAACCAAAATAGAGATTTTGCTTGATGCCAGTTTTTACTTATAACTAATATTTGATGAGGTGGTTCTCCATCCGTTTAGCTGTGGCCACTTTACCCACTTTAGACGATACGTTATATCTTTCATCCTTCTATCTGTATCTGTATCAGTTGAACAAAGTCTTAGAGATACAGATGTTATTTTTTTGCTTGTAAATTATCATCTGATTTCTTTACTCTTGCCCATTCTTGCAAAAATTATTTTAGTATTAGCTACAATAAAACAAAATTAGGAAGGAAAATCTGCTTGGGGAAATTAGAAGTGGTTGGGGGCTAACCAGGTAAATACTACTAGGAGCAACTGAGAGAGGTCTGCTCAAGAGGCCTTAATTTATTTGGGTTGAATCCTCAAATACACTTCTTCCTCGAGGAGTTAGTCTAAGGTATATCACATATACCTCAGGAATCCCATTTACTATTGCTTTAAAAGATTTGAGAATTGCTATATGTGTCAAATATGCTGAAGCTAGGCTATTGTAAATTTACTTGGTTCTTAGTAATACTTTTAGAAATTGTAATAAAATGTTGCAGTGAAGAATTTGTGGGTGGGAGGTGGAATCTGTTGCAGTTTACTCTGCAAAGATTTGCATATTTTATTTATGTAAGAGGCAATATGGCATGAAAGAGACAGTATTAGCTATTTTTATTACATCTTTAAATTTTCTTCTTTCTTACCCCTTGTTTGTGTGTTGTGTTCCACAACACCGCATACATGCCCTAAAACAAACTGGAAGGGAGCCAGTAAGAATATCACAGGTCAGTTGTCAGTGAGACCACATGGATGTGCAACATGCTCTTTATCTCATTGGTACTTCTCTACTGATCAGGGTATCTACTAGATGATACATAAAAGGCACATTATAATTTACCTATTTTTCTCTTCAAATATTACAATCTTATTGTATATGCAGTATTAGATACTGATTTTTTTAAATGATGAACAAAATATTGTACAAAAATGGCTACTACGTTTTAGAAAGTGATCCTCGTAAAATTTTGCATTTTATAGCATTTTATGATGAATCTGTTATTCTAAGAAATAACCTTGAGGATTATGGGAGAGAAATATTGTGAACCTAATTTTTCAGATGAAGAACCTGATTCTTAGAGATTACTTAACCTGCTCTAAAGGAGCCCGTGTCTCTTGTAGCACTACAGGCAATTTCCAGTTTTCTCCCAAAAGACATGTCACCTATAAGAATCACCAGGCATGAGATATCTATTGTGCATTTACAGTTAATTTGTAGTTCTTCCCATTTCAGATATGGTGTAGTCAGTCAGAAATCATCCTCATTATAAGCAAAGTTGTCTAGTAGTGTAGTTAACAAAAATACCTTTTTACCTGTAGAAGTACAGTGTGCACTGGAAATTCTGAGAGTGAAATTATTTCCATGTCATGTAGGATGTATATTTGCATTGGATGTTGGAGGCTGGAATTTTCAGCAGGTTGACAGGATAGAAAAGAAAACAGGCACAGAGGTGGAGATGGGTATGGAAGCAGTTACTATAGTGGTTCGTTGTTCACACCTTTCGTGAAGGTGCCATGAAAAGCATTAATGAGAAATGTGAGTGGAAAGTTAGTTTAAGCCTCATTATAAGAGACCTTAGATTCCATATTTATGAATGTGGGCTTTGTGGAAGGCCCTAGAAGGTTGCACAGAGAAGTGACATGTTTTAAGTTTTGCTTTAGGCTTTCCACTTGTAGAGGGAGGAGAGGTTGGGAGAGCATTACAGCATATATGTATGTCTGTTACATGTGTAGGGGACTGGCCCAGTAGAAAAATAAGGCTTAAATTTGAGGGTGACAGTAGAAATGGAAAGATAGGAATGAATAGGAGCAACATGGTGTAGTGGTTGAATTTCTGGGATCTATCAATCGGGTTAACGTTGCGGTTGGGAATAATCGAGGTAAAAGTTGGTTCCAGGATTTTAATCAGAAAACAATGGTACCACTTCCACAAGTAGGAAGGTTATATAAAATTTATTAAATTTTCACTGAGCCCAAACTCAGTGTAGTGTATAATATTTTTTTTTCTAAGCGCTGTTCTCACAGAATGTGAAACATGGATGGAGACAATGAGGAAACTATATTACAAAGGTTACAATCTAGGGGGAGAAACAAGATGTATGCATATGAAATCTTTATGACCATGATTAAGGACCATGCATTCTATAAAAAAGATCAATATTGGGTGAGTGATAGGGACATGTTTAAGAATGCATTGGAGATTTGAAATAGCTCCTAAAGGATCAATAAGAGAGAACTGAAAAAAAAGGCTAATCCTTTTTTCCCTTCGTTTCAGGCTGGCTTACAGTTGGACCAACTCTGACGAACAGCAACTACAATGCAGAAACATATGCGTCCTACTTCAGCGCCCCCAATTCCTACTTGACTGGATGTACTGAAGAAATCGAGAGACTCCGACCAAAATCCCCTCCTCCCAAATCTAAATCTGATCGGGGAGGCGGAGCTCCCAGGGGTGGAGGAAGAGGTGGGACTTCTGCCGGCCGTGGACGGGAAAGAAATCGATCTAACTTCCGAGGAGAAAGAGGTGGCTTTAGGGGGGGCCGCGGAGGAGCACACAGAGGTGGCTTCCCACCTCGGTAATTTTTTAAGACCCCGATCCTGTTAGTGCCCCTCTGTCTTCTTTATTGTAGTTTGAATTTCAACTGGGAGATTTATTTTAGAACTCACTTCCAGCTTGCACTTTGCTTTAGTTTCTCCAGGCTCCAGGAATATCTTAGCCAACCTCCTTGCATTTGTTCACACACGCTGTCTAGTTTTGTCTGGGATAATCGAGTCATCCTGGCTCATGTCATGTGCATGTAACCGAACAGAACGGAACAACACAAATACCTTCTCTTTCAGAGACTGAACTTATTCTGATAGATTCCAACTAATTACAAAGGCTTTTGCCTTTTACAAATAGTTGAAGTGAGCAGTGAAGAAGACCCAATCTGTTGTATCACACTAGTGCTCACCGTAGTTGGTAAAGGCATCCTGCCACTGCTGTCACAGCAAATGGCAGATGTTTGGGCGCCCTGATGGAACGGAGTTGGGACAGATGGTAAACTTCTGTTAGGGTTTTAAAAACATTTTCTTGATGAAATAATAAAAAGAGACATATTTTCTTTCTTTTTAAAAATCTTAAATAAACTTAGATATAATTTGACTACAGAAGGAATTGAGAGACTTTAAACAAAATCATCGCCTCCCAAATCTAAATCTGATAAGGGAGGCGGAGCTCCCAGGGGTGGAGGGAGAGGTGGAGCCTAGTAGGCAGACTTGAAAAAGGGAAAAAAGCTCATCCTCATCTCACTTGTATAGCTACAGGTGACTGAAATCATGCTTCCTGAGAAGCAAATGAAGACAGATATCCAAGTGCTAGAACTTTGCTGTGGACTTGAACTTGGATTGACTTTCAAAGCAGTTTCATATTCCTTAGCAAAATAAAAGAAACGGAGGCAATAACAGAGATACCTGGTTATCAGGTACTTGGTTTAAACATTTGGGGGAATAAAGTACTTGGTGATGAGGAAATGACATACATCTTTCAACTTGTTATGGAGAAAACTTAATGTACAATTAATTACCGAAACCCTCAACTTAAGAAGACAGCTTAGAAAATGGCACTCCAGTTGCCTTTTATTAAAACCATACGGTGTGGTGTTTTTCAGGGACTGGCTTTGCAGATCTGTTACTTGTATAAGACTTTATGCTGTCATTTCTCTTTCTATACTGTAACTCATGTTTTAAATGAATTTGAATGAAATAATATCATCGTTCTTGATAAATGTATTTTTTATTTTGTGTATGATTTTTTCTAATGAAACTTAAAACCTTTGAAATTTGGGAGTCTGTTTTCTGTAAGTGGAGTTGCTGTTGTTACCAAATGAAAAAGGAGTGACCTGAGATCTGGTTCTACTTTTGGTTTGTGATGCATTTTAGTGGCCATTCTGTGCTTCTCATTGGCTCATATTACACCTAAAGTGAGGTTATATTTTACCCACTAAAGACTCAGTTTGCAGATAAGGACTCAGTTATAGAAATAGGCTTGAGATCCTTAAAAGCCTGATGAATTTAAGTTGCACAACCTGTTAGTACTTTCTAGTACAGAGAGCATTTGACTAATGCCTTTCTTGATGTAGATATGATGTGTCAGTTAGAATTTTTACTGAAATGGTGGTGTATTTTCAACTTCAACAATTATAAATTATCTAGAGAGAAAACTGTTTGTCAAAGTTGACCTGAGAATGAGGAGGGTATAGAGATGTTCCAGTTGCCCAGTGTGGGTCCTTAGAAATACCAGCTAGGCAGTGCGTCTGTCCTATAAACAGGACTCTCTAGTATGGTCCACACCTTGGGCCTAGCCAAGGGAAAGCAACGGTCCTGTTGCTTACCTGGCCTAGTCGACTACCTGTGAGATCTGTACCATAACGTCACCTTACACAGAGCTAGGAGTGGCTTCTTTGTAGCTTGAAAGTTAAAGGGAGCCACAGCCCACCATATTTCGAGCAAATAAGAAAAGAATAGGTGGTGGGAAAAAATACAAGGCCTAGAATGATCCCTTTGACAGTGTAATGTGGCATTCTTATGACAGAGGATGGAATTGACTCACTAGTTTTGCTACCTCACTTTCAGTAAAGGTTGGGGGATCACTTTCACAATGGAATCTGTGTTCACTGAGGAAAGGTTTCCAGTGAAAACTCATTACTCTGACCTCCTCTGACTTTTGATCATCTTTATATTTTCATGTCTTAACATTTTCACAAAATTATCTAAGAAATCACCAAAAATAATTTTTAGTTGCTTCACTTAACGATTCTTTATTGGGGATAGGAGCTAATTTGAAGTAACCCTAAATTTTTTCAGTTTAAAAGTTCTAAGATCAGCATACCTAGTATTATGCATGATGACAGTTGTAGGTATTCTAAGCCAAATGGTGGTGTGTATTTTCAGCGGCAGCACTTCTCCCTGTTACCTGTCTCCTTTCAGAGGGTGTTGATAGGAGGCCCCAAGTACTCCAGTTCTTTTGGACTTTTCTTCACTGTGTAGAAAAGAAAAGGGAGGAGGTCGATGATGGCAGCTGGAACAGATTTTGTGGTGGGGAATATCACACCAAACACTCCTGAACCAGGTGAGACCAAGGAATTGTGGCGATGTCAGTCAAAATGTGGAATGGCCACCATGAGACAGCACAGGGTGAGAGGTGTCAAAGCGAGGGGACTCTGGCATGGCAGCCGGGTCACATATCCAAAGTTGGGATGGACCAGTCCTGCATCAGCAGTAGACTGTTCTGGTAGAAGAGCCACTTGTGAGTCCTTAGCTCATAAATGTGGAAACTGAAACCACATCTCTCTCCTACTCTAAAGCCAAGGAAGTATTATGCCGTAGTTTCATTTTAAGTTGATGAAGTTGTAATGTAAGATGCCGGGGAGTTAATGTGCTGTCAAGAGCCGAGATCTTTGTGTCATGGCTGTTACTAGGAATGATTCCTTTTCATGTCTCGTAAAATACTTTCTACTCATCTTAATTGCTAAATTACAACTTTCGGATAAGTTACAGCAGCTTATTTTAAAACCCATACTGTTTTCATCCTGAATTTAAGAACATAAGATTTGGTCTTTGAAGTGTAGTTCCAGATTTTTCTGATTAATAATCTTTATTAACTTGACAAAATAATGGCCCAGTTGGTACTCATTCTAAATAGTAGTCTTTGATCTGAAAATGTCTCATATTTTTGTAAGCTATTAAAGACATAAGCCTTTGCTTTTAAGAAAGGCTTTTCTTCGAACAATCCTGTAATCTTCGGGTCCATGTAGGACTTTGAGCATTATCCTATCTGTGATGTGTGGCGATAGGGACTAAACTTTAGCTTGGGTCTCAAGTATGTGTAGTCAGTTTTGAAGCTATAAATCTAGGACTTCCCAGAAGGTTAGTACATTTATCCAGCAAACTGAGCCCACTGAAGATTCCATTTCTGGAAAAGCCACATTGCGTCCGCTCTCAAGGCCTCCATCATTTACTCAGATATAAACATGCTAGCTAAAATGCACAGAGAAAACTGCCTCATTTCATCTAGATAATTCTTTTCCAATGAACCCTTTTTCTAGTATTGGACAAAATATTAAAATAATCAGTTTGAGTATGGGTTATACTTCTTGCTTCTGTAACTGGAGGTGCTAATAAACAGTAAAATCAGATAAGGTAGGTTAAGCATACAGAAACTAAGCATATAATATGAATCAGTGAAGCAAGGCATGAGTTTTTCATATCGTGGAATAATTGTCTTTTTTAGACATACTTTGAATTATATTAAGCATAGAAATATTTACTTTCACTCGTTTACTTTCTCACATTTATCTTGTCTGTGCTGTTTTCCTACTTTGATGGGTTGTCTCAGCTCCTCTCTAAGAAAGGCAGAGCAGCACAGAGCACCTTAATAGCCAGTGACTTGATCTTAGGGCCATAGAGACCCAGAGAGAGAGCTGGGGACAGGAGAGCACATGCTCTGGGTAAGGTGGACATCATTACTCAGCTCCAGCTAATTGTCACCACAGAGGGAAGACGGTAATCTGAGATGTTCGTGTGAAATCTCCCTAGATGTTGGCAGTTAAAATAGTTTGTCTCCTTTGCTCACTACATTTTCCTACATGAGCTAAAATTTCTTAAAATTAATTTGGCTAAGTACTCCATGCATATTTTAAATCCTGGCCTCTAAATACTACGTAACCAAATTTACTAAAAAAAGAGGAAAAAAAGTTACCCAATTGGGACAGGAAACCATCACCTTGAAAACATGTAGTCAGTATACTTTGGAAGACACAAATGAGATTGCTGATGTGGACTAAGGCAGTGCTGTGGCCTCAAGCCGTCCACGTGTCCAATGGGAGGAAAGGCCTAGGCCTGTGTTGTCACGAAACACACCTTTTATAGAATCCCACGTCTGTTCAAGTTTTTAGTTTACAATTACAGTGTTAATATTAACTAGTGTTAATATCGTGAACGAATAACTGTATCATTCTGCCTTTTTTGTGTTTTCTTTGTCTTTTTAAAGCAGAGGGCAGAAAGTCAAACACGATTTTGTTCAGAGATAATCCAGTTTAGTAGTTTATGCTGCTTATATTACCAAGGTAATTGCTTAAATGTCTTATGGAATTTGCCGTCATTTTACAGGTTTATGCTTTTCAAGACAAATTCTGGGTAGGTACATACTTGAATATTTAGTAAAGGAGAGGTTTTTGATGTAATAATATTGCCTGTAATTCAGATAAGCTACACCTGAGGATGGATTATTTGGCCTTGTCCAAAAAGCTAGAGTTACATGCATGGTAAGTAGGAGCTCCAGATTATAACTTACTTTACTCTTATATCTTATTGAGATGAAAATTTTAAAGCATATAAGCATGATTAACAATACTGTATTTATGAAAATAATTCCAAAGCAAAATTTAAGAAAATACAAGCACAAATGTAAGATTGTGAGCCAGCTAACTTCGTCAATTTTAAATCCCACTGCCTCCTTGAGGTGCTCCTGACAGGGTCTTGCATAGGACGGCGTCAGAATCCCTTTGGGAACATGCCCAGTTCTGACTGCTTTCACTCACCCTCGAGTGAAAGATGCCGTCCCATCTGATAGCTGCCTTTGTCTACTCATTAAGTCCTGAGCTTGTCACCCTGCTGTTCATGCTCTGAGGAATTAGTCTTTGTCGTTCACCTTGCAGAAGCAGCTTCTAATGTGTGGCACAGAGTAGTGCTCAATAAAGAGCCCCTACTCCTTTGCTTGCTTCAGAATTGGAAGTAATTCCCAGACGACTTTTAATATCCCTCTCTTTTCACTTCTTCTTTTCCCTTCTGCTGAAGATTCCTTGCTGCAGAAGAGGACTGTGTTTTTCTACTAAGGAATAAGAGAACGTTATGTTTGAGGCTGAGGAAATGAAGTGATTTCCACTCACCTCTTAGCAGCGGAGTCATAGAATCAGTCTCCTCTGGTTTGACTTTAAAGGCATCTGACTCTTTGCTCTGGATATAAATTTTTGCTTTCTGCCAAATACAACCTATTTTGAGTAAGGAAAATGATTTAACTTCATCTGTATCACCTTGTTACTAATAGCTTAAGTCAAAAGTTGGACTACATTCCTCCAGTGAGTGACAGTGGAGCGAAGGGAGAAGAGATTGCCTGAGAGCAGGGAGAGGACAGCTTGGTTGAGGATGGGCCTGGGGTGGCGCCCAGGCATCGGGAAACTGCTGCAGCTCAGTGCATGGCCTCAGGGAGAGAGGCCCTCTAGGAAGTAGCTGAGGGGTGCACCTGGGAGAGTGGCCATCCTCATTCATTTCTGCCAAGCACAGTGAGGTGGCAGGAAGGGCCTGGACGTCAGGAGACCATGGGGGCTTTGACACAGTCATCAGTGTGCACCAAAGACAGCGAAGCTTCCCTGCCAGTCCTCTGGACTAGAGGCTCAGATGCAATTAGGTGGATTTTTAAAACATGACTTGTTTTGCAAACTAGACTTTACTGTTGCAAATTCCTATCTATATGCTAACTCTGGTTTCTCCTAAGTCATAAATGTAAGAGCCTGTTTGCAAAATAAGCATTTTAGGTCCCTAAAACTTTGATTGGGTAACATGAATCTAAACCCCATGAGATATCCTCAAACTATTTTTCAAATATGAATAATATGTTTTTAAAGAAACAGTTTTTCATGGACCCAATTGAAAATTGAAAAATACTGATTTGAGAAACTAGTCTTATTCTATAAAAAGTCTTAATGGAAAATTCTTACTGCAAAAGAGTTTTGTATTTATAACTGGTAACAATTTTTAAACATGTTATCAAAATAAAAAGCAC